ATGCCCCCCTCCTGTTTAATAAAAAAATTAAAAAAAAAAAAAAGGAGAGGGGGAATTTTTTCATACAATTCCTTTCTGAGAAAGAGAGAGAACCCTAAAGAGCTTGGAAAATAGATTGCCTTTTTTGTCTATAATTTCTTATAATTAAAAATACCCATTATGCATCTTCAACTTGGATAATATAACCTAAGGGACTTGAACCTTCTAAGGTGCATTTGCATGATGATCCTTGTGGACTGTAAGAAGCATTCAGCTTTTCATCAGTTGTTCTTTCTATGAGTAATACAAAAATTATAAAAAGAGGAAAAAGAAAACTCTTTTATTTAAAGCATATTCTGCTGTTACCCTGCAGGGATAAAGTACATGAGACTAAATCAGAACAGAAAAGGAAATACTATTCGCTCTTAGCTTTTGAATGTGTTGTGGTTAGTTGTTTTCAGTGTACTATGGTTGCACGCTCTCATTTCAGAGATGTTTAATTCAGGACTTCCTCCCACCTTATAAGTCAACGACCAAAATAATTAAACATTTGAATGTCTCCTATGGACAAAACAGCCCTAAAGCTCTTTAAATCAAGTTTTTATAAGCTTTTCAGTTTATATCTCATCTTACTGTTCTTAGGGAGGCTTCCTAGCCTGGAACAGAAGGACTGAACTTTAAAGTCCAGGTTGTTCCCAACCTGGATTGGATAAAAAAATGCTTTTCAAATGCTTGAAAAGAGAGGTGAAACAACACTTTGTGTTTTCCCTCCTGCAGCTACTTGATTTGGAAAGGTTTGAGCTCATCTTACTTCATGAAGAAAGGTCTTCTGTTAAAATGTCCTGGTTGTCATGTCTTGTCTCATGTTCTGTTGTTATCTTCCAGGAAGTAAAAAAAAAAAAAAAAAAAAAGAGAGAGGCATCTCTGGAACAGATCCATCCAAACAGAAAAATGGTGAGATGGTCTCTTCCCTCTCTTAACAGACCAGCCCCTGCTTTCAAATATGGGCTGCATTGCTCTGATGAGGTGTACAGCCACCAGCTGGCATGGAACAAGTTAAAGCAGAGGTAGGGTCTAGCCCAACTACTCTGTTGCCAAGAGTGACACAAGTGGAGAGTTACAGAATTGCAATGCAGAAGTAGAAAGCA